TGCGTATCTCTGACGTGTCCTCAGGTCCAGGGATGGTGGACATCTGTACGATACTTCCATTGGTACTGGTATATAAGACACGAGTTGTGCAAGTCTTAGTATCTCATCTTTGTATGGATCGGTATTCCTTAGTAGGAATCTCCTAAAGTCTTCTTGCCGTTTGCCACTCACCTACCGATTGTAATACTTATATCGCAACCAGTCTCCTTGCCTCCTTCATATTTTTAACAGGCTATGAGCCCCGGCTCACGCTAAGCAGCATCTATCTCTAATACTCGTATTCCACAATGGGGAAGGACAAGCTTGACGAGCCTCTGGACTTGAACAACTACGCCACCTGGCAAATTCGGTTCAGTGTGCTGTGTATGGAGCTTGGGCTTGAGCAGTCCTTGCTCGCCGAGCCGGGAAACGAGGAGCAGATTCGACAATCTCGTAAGGTTATCAACCTGCTCATCAAGAATGTTAAAGATCACCATTTGCCGATGGTTACGGGTGCTGCAAACGCGAAGAGGGCATGGGACGCTCTGGCCGTGATGTTTGTCGCCAACAATAACGCACGCAAGGTAGCTCTCCGCCAAGAGTTCAGCCGTTTTAAGATGGTCGACGGTGAGCCGTTACCCAAGTACTTTGCACGTGCGCGGCAACTACAGTCAGACTTGTTGGGAGTTGGGCACGTAACGAGCAACTCGGAGCTGGCGTACACAGTGCTGGTTGGGCTCCCCAGCCGCTTCAACGTGGTATCTGTTGAGGAAACGGTCCTCTCCCAACTCGTGTGGTTGTCGACCAGGGGATTTGACCCCGGGTCTGCATCTGACTAATGGGGAAGACTAACCCCAGAACCCTATGGGGCTACCGATGCATATCCGGTAGCTAAGTGATAGACATTTGGGCACCGTCAGGACGGCGCAGTGAGATCGCGGAATGTACGTGCAGTTAGATCGCGGGATGTACGAGTTTTCCGCTAGCGCCGGTATTTAGGGCGGTGACTGCGCTTATTTGTTTATCTCACTACGATCGGTATTCCTCAAAGGAATCTCCTCAAGTCCTGCCGAACGCTAATAATACTCTTTACATAACTTGTAACATTTTATCGTGTTAAATATCTTCGCCACCGGCAATTCTTCCCAGATAACAATCATAAGGCAGGCGGCTGGCAGAGATTAAGGCCTGACTTCTGCTCCCGGTCGACACGGGTTCAAATCCGCCTGCCGACCTCTCGGGTGTTTGAGAGGTGGTGAAATGGGAGGTGACCCCCCATCTTGTGGACGGTATAGGACGTGATAAAATCAACTTGCGAGCTGACCAGGAACTAAGTTGAGGCGCCGTTGATCCGCTAGATTTGGTTGGATGCTGGTGGTGAGTTGCCAAACTCAAAGAGTACACTCTGAAGTCGGATGGGGTGAATGGCTTAGGGTGCCCCTCTAGCAGGGGAGAGCAGGGAATTGCCTCGGGTTGGGGGCCACTGGTGAAGCTTAACCACCCTGTAACAACATCAACAATCAGCGTTAGCCGTCACCGTCGGCAATTCTTCAATAGTAACAACGTCCCTGCTAGTGCGTGACGGCGATTTGGACATGGCGAGCGTCACCTCCAAGCTTTTGGCTATCGAGGTGGCAAGCGGTGGGTCTAGTAAGCCTACCGAGTCGGCAGCTTTTGCTTCTGTCGGCGGTCTCACGTTTGGCGCCTCTGGTTCTGGTCTTAGGAATCATGGTGCGGCCAGCAGCAGTTCTGGCGGTTCCCCCAAACATTTGTTTTGTCACTATTGGAAAAAGCCCGGGCACGATATTAAGGACTGCAGGAAGTTGAAGGCACTAAAGCAGTTGTCCATTTCCGGCAGTGGACAAGGTAAGGGTAGTGGTGTCAGCGGAGCTAGCGGCAGCAAGCCTGGGCCCGGTGGGTCTGGAAGGGGATCAGATTCCCGCGGCAGGTTGCGTTCACAGCTTACAACGGTGAGCGTCCGGAGGGGTGGTTCCTGGACTCAGCCGCCACTCACCACATAACGTATGACCGCTCAGAACTTCTCAACGTTCGGTTGTTGGAGCCGTGGGAGCGCTTCAACATCATGGGCATCAAGGGACAGTCTCTTCGGCCGACTGAAGCTGGCACGCTTATGATTAGATCTAACGTCAACGATAAACAGGCCATCACTTTTAAGAAGGTCTACATCGACGAGGAGGCCACCGCCAAAATCCTATCGGTTCGCATCATTGATGATCGTGGAGGCAGTGTGGTCTTCGGCGGCGGACAGGTAAAAGTATACGTACAGAACCAGTTGGTGCTGACTGGAAAGCGGGATGGGGACTTGTATCCCGTCTGGTACAGCAGTGGAGGTACAGGCGCTATGAAGGGGACACAGCGTGAAGACAACAGGCAGGCGGCTGGCAGAAGTTAAGGCCTGGCTTCTGCTCCCATCGCGTCCCGGCGCGTCCGGGTTCAAATCCGCCTGCCGACCTCTCGGGGTGTTTGAGAGGTGATGAAATGGGAGGTGGCCCCCCATCTTGTGGACGGTGTAGGACGTGATAAAATCAACTCGCGAGCTGACCAGGAACTAAGTTGACGCGCCGTTGATCCGCTAGATTTGGTTGGATGCTGGTGGTGAGTTGCCAAACTCAAAGAGTACACTCTGAAGTCGGATGGGGTGAATGGCTTAGGGTGCCCCTCTAGCAGGGGAGAGCAGGGAATTGCCTCGGGAAGGAGGCCACTGGTGAAGCTTAACCACCCTGTAACAACATCAACAGGATGCCTTCTGGTGGTGGTGCTGTGTGTGCTGCCGTGGATATTGGAGCTGAACGTGCAGCACTTTGGCACCGACGGTATGGCCACTTGGGATACAGCACCCTTGAGGTGTTGCTGCGTCACAATATGGTAACTAGGTTCGATGTTGACCGACACAGCATACAATATAGGCAGGCGGCTGGCAGAAGTTAAGGCCTGACTTCTGCTCCCAGTCGATCCAGTCGACCCGGGTTCAAATCCGCCTGCCAGCTCCTCGGGTGTTTGAGGAGTGATGAAATGGGAGGTGGCCCCCCATCATATGGACGGTGTAGGACGTGATAATATCAACTTGCGAGCTGACCAGGAACTAAGTTGATGCGCCGTTGATCCGCTAGATTCGGTTGGATGCTGGTGGTGAGTTGCCGAACCCAACGAATACATTCTGAAGTCGGATGGGGTGACGGATTAGGGTGCCCCTCTAGCAGGGGAGAGCAGGGACTGCCCCGGGAAAGGGGGCCGCTGACGAAGTTAACCACCCTGTAACAACATACATACAATCAGCCAGCGTGTGTGTGTGAGATTTGCGTCCTTGCTAAGCATACACGTGGTCCTTTTCCGTTATCTGGGCATAAGGCAGCACAGCCTCTCGCGCTCATTCACATGGATGTGTGTGGCCCTATGCCTGAACCTTCACCAGATGGTTCGTGTTACGTGACCACCCTTCTTGATGACCACACCGGTCTGTCAGCTGTTGCGTTTACGGCAACCAGGGAGGAGATATATCAGAAGGTGGTGGTGATGATAGCGGACCTGGAACGGGCATCTGGTCGGCAGGTAAAGGAGGTGCACACAGATCGTGGCGGGGAATTTGTGAATACGCGCACGAAAAGCTACTTCGCGTCAAGGGGTATTTTGCACGGAACTACGGCGGGCTACACTCCTGAGCAGAACGGTGCAGAACGCCTGAACCGCATTCTCCTAGACAAGGCCAGGTCAATGCTCATAGAGTCTGGACTCCCAAAATCACTGTGGGAAGCGTTGGCGACTGCAAACTACCTCAGGAACGTGTCGCCAACTGCTGGGTCAACCGTCACGCCACATCAAGCCTTTTTTGGTGTTCGTCCGAATGTCAGCCATCTGCGGGTCTTTGGATGCGCTGCATACGTTCACGTGCCCAACGTCAAGCGAGACAAACTCGATCCGGTAAGCAGGAGTAGTCGGATATGGTAATGGAGGACAGTACCGCGTGCTGTACGAGGACGGCATCGTCGCCGTTGTCTCCAGTGTCCGCTTTGACGAGTCTAATGTCGGCCGGCGGTGTAATGCCGGGGACTCCGATTATGGGTCCGATGCCGATGTGGAGGAGGACGTTCCCACTAACTTGCCTGGTGAGGGGTCGCTGCCTAGGGCTGGCGAAGGAACATCAGGCAATACTGTCGGCGAGGGATCGCCGCATTTGGGTGGCGAGGGGGCGCCGGCTGGGGCTGGACCTTCCAGCAGTGCAAACGTGCAAGATAACAATCAGCCTGATGTGGAAATGGCAGGGACCCGGTACCCAGTTAGACAGTGTAAACGCCCTGGCGAGTGGTGGCGAAACGTTACTGGTCGCACTGTTACTGGTCGCATTTATGCTGCTATTTCTGCTGTTATTCCTGAACCGAATTCGGTTGCGGAAGCAATTGCAAGTCCACATGCAGACGATTGGCGGCGTGCGATGGACGAGGAGATCGCCGCCCAGATGGCTAACAGTACTTGGGAGCTGAAGACGCCACCTCCAGGTACTCATTTATTGCCGTGTCGTTGGGTGAATAAGGTTAAGTAAACGATGACGGCAGCGTGGAGCGTTTTAAGGCGCGATTGGTTGCAAAGGGTTTCGAGCAACGCGAGGGGATTGATTATGGGGAGTTGTTTGCCCCTACCTCACGTGGTTCGTCATTACGTGCTTTATTAGCAGTTGCCGCAGCGCGGAACATGACGGTGCACCAGCTTGACGTGTCTACTGCATTTTTGTAATGTAATTGTAATTTGTAATGTTACAGAGTGGGAGGCTTCTGGCCCGCTTTATCACATTGTCAGTTCTAGATCATTCCCTTAAGCGACTTAGGGACCACTTCGGGATTTGCTTCCCCGAAGGGTGACAGACAAGATTAGGGGCAAAGCCCCTAGTACAAAGGATCTCCGGCATGCCGTGCTCTGCATCTAGCCTCACAATAGGCTCCACCGTGACTAACGGCCATTGGCCCACGTTAACTATCGTGAACCACAAGGCTTCGTAAGACAATTTTATGGCAACTAAACTGTTCCCAAAATTTAGCCAAGGTCTAGCACAAGACCCTACAACACGTAGAATATGGTACGGGCTTGCAATGGCTCATGATTTTGAAAGCCATGATGGTATGACAGAAGAAAATCTTTATCAAAAGATATTTGCTTCACACTTTGGTCAATTATTTATCACTTTATAGCACCATCCACCACTACCACACTGTACCACACTGTACTTAGCCATACGAACTGTAAGTCCAAGGCGGCGGATCTTCAGGGACCCCTCCTCATCCATTCACCCGAACAACCGGAGAGACGGAGGGTTCGGCAATCGCCACCAATCCAACTAGCCATAATTTCGCGCTCCCGTATAATTCGGGGGTCTCCCCAGGAATCGAACCCAGGACCTTAAACCGCAAATTGCAGAAGTGTCAACCCAGACCAGACCTGCATTTTTGAACAGTGAGTTGAAGGAGGAGTTGTGGATGGAGCAACCACCTGGGTATGAATCCAGTGACCGGTCGCTTGCGTGCAAGCTGGAGAGGTCTATTTACGGTTTGAAGCAGGCACCCCGTTGCTGGTATGAAAAGCTATCAGCAGAGTTCGCCAAGCTGGGTCTTTATCCTTCGAAGTCTGATCCGGCGATGTTCGTTAAGACGGACGAGCGTGGGGTTGTTATTGCTTTGGTGCACGTAGATGACACCATTGTTGCGTCAGAAGACCCGGAAATGGTCCGGGCAATTAAAGCCGCAATTGCGAAGGTCTTCAAGGTGCGTGACCTTGGAGAAGCGAAGGTGTTTTGGGGCATGGAAATTAGGAGGGAGAAGTCGGGTGAGATAGTGTTGTCGCAGCATAGGTATATTGAGCAGCTGTTGGAGCGTCATAGGATGGTTGACGCCAAGCCGAGGTCTACCCCTTTGCCTCCGGGCTTTAGGTACACTCCTAAGGGGGACGGAGAGGAGCTGCTGGGCAATCCCACCGAGTATAGGGCTTTGGTGGGAGAATTGAACTATCTGGCGACGAACACGCGGCCTGACATTTCATATGCATTGAGCGTTTTGTCCCGGCATATGGCCGCACCTACGAAGTGTGCCATGAACCTGGCAACTGGCGTTCTGCGTTACCTGGCGGGGACTCGCGAACTAGGATTGCGTTTTGGGGGTGTTGGCGATGTTGCTATGTCCGGGTACAGTGATTCGGACTGGGCAGGAGACCCAGTTACGCGGCGTTCTACGTCCGGTTACGTATTCACTCTTAATGGGGCTGCGATTAGCTGGAGCAGCCAACTTCAACGTACTGTGGCGGCTTCGTCGGTGGAGGCTGAGTACCAAGCTACTGCGGCGGCTGTTGGTGAAGCTTTGTGGCTTCACAAGCTGATGGTCGATTTGGGCTTGCCTGAGAGCGCGGTGAAAATCCAGATAGACTCCCAGGGGGCGCTTAGCTTAGGAAATAACCCGATTACGTCTGCTCGGTCGAAGCACATCGACGTGCAGCACCACATAGTGCGTGAGAGGGTGAATAGCGGGGAGGTGCAGTTGGAGTACTGCCCTACAGAGTGGATGGTAGCGGATGCGCTCACGAAGGCACTGGGAGAAGTGAACTTCAAACTGTGCAGAGAAGCTATGGGCGTTGTGTGAAGTGCCCGTTGGCAGAGCAAATGTGCTAATGCGAGTTGGGATATGTCCCGAGGGGGCGTGTTGAAGGGCGGTCCTATCCCAACGTAGATGTTAGATGTTAGGGTGTGGTTAGGCGATGATAACGCCTTGATAGGCTGTGCCTCGGACGTGCCTCGACTTGCCTCGTCCGTACCTCGACCTTGCCTCGGGTCTCTCGGCCGCGTATCTCGGACGTGTCCTCAGGTCCAGGGATGGTGGACATCTGTACGATACTTCCATTGGTACTGGTATATAAGACACGAGTTGTGCAAGTCTTAGTATCTCATCTTTGTATGGATCGGTATTCCTTAGTAGGAATCTCCTAAAGTCTTCTTGCCGTTTACCACTCACCTACCGATTGTAATACTTATATCGCAACCAGTCTCCTTGCCTCCTTCATATTCTTTACACGCTGAGACTTCACCTACCTATACTGCGCACTGTAGTAGCTGGCCGCTGAAAAGGCCTCTCAAGATGCTGGTGGTCGCGCTTCGCGCGTATTTGTAGAGCCATACTGTGTACCAGCTACTACATCCTCCCTCTTTGACGGGTAGTCCGGACTCGACAAGCATAGCCCTGGTTTTGTCTAGGAGGGTGCGATTCAAACGTTCGGCTGCTCCGTTTATTGAAGAATTGGCGACGGTGACGGCTAACGCAGATTGTTATCTCGGAAGAATTGCCGGTGGCGAAGATATTTAGCAAGATAAAATGTTACAAGTTATGTAAAGAGTATTGTTAGCGTTCGGCAGGACTTGAGGAGATTCCTTTGAGGAATACCGATCGTTGTGAGATAAACAAATAAGCGCAGTCACCGCCCTAAATACCGGCGCTAGCGGAAAACTCGTACATTCCGCGATCTAACTGCACGTACATTCCGCGATCTCACTGCGCCGTCCTGATGGTGCCCTAATGTCTATCACTTAGCTCCCGGATATGCATCAGTAGCCCCATAACGTTCTGGGGTAAGTCTTCCCCTAGTCACAGACCCTGGGTCAAATCCCCTGGTCGACAACCACACGAGTTGGGAGAGGACCGTTTCCTCTGCTCAGGGGTGTAGCCTACCGTAGTTCCATGAACAATACCCCTGGACGCGAAATAGCCCTTCGTGCGAGCATTAATGAACACCCTACAACGATCCGTAAGCACCTCCTTAACCTGGCGGCGGTGCACGTTGTACCACGTCCAAACGGTTGTCCGTTGTCATTGTACTTAGTAGTCTGCATCCACCTGATTGTACCTGTATATCCACCATCGTAGCAGATGGGGTATAAGTCGCCATCACGCTCACCGGTCAATGGTCCTGCACATAAACCTTTACCTATCCGCCACAGAAGACGATGCTACTGTTGAGGAAACAGTCCTCTCCCAACTCGTGTGGTTGTCTATCAGGGGATTAGACCCCGGGTCTGCGCCTGACTGTTGGGAAGACTTACCCCAGAACTTAATGAGGCTTCCGATGCAAATCCGGTAGTTAAATGGTAAGCATTTGGGCACCGTCAGGACGGTGCAGTGAGATCGTGGAATGTACGAGTAGTGAGATTGCGGAATGTACTAGTTTTCTGCTGTATTTAGGGCGGTGACTGCGCTTATTTTTTTATCTCACTTTCAACGAGCGGTAATCCTCATAGGAATCTCCTAAAGTCTCCTAAAGAACGCAATTTACAGTCTTACTTTACTTTACTTTTATATCTTCGCCGCCGGCATTCCTTCCGGAATAACAGTCAGCATCAGCCGTCACCGTCACCAGTTCTCCAACAGCTACCACCGCGGTCGTCGATGATATGGACTGACAGAACCTTGACCATCGCCTCCTTGTCAACGTCGACCTTCTTGAAAGTGATGGCCTGTTTATCGCTGACGTTAGTATTGAAGAATTGGCGACGTTGACAGCTAACGCTAATTGTTATTCCGGAAGGATTGCCGGTGGCGAAGATATTTAGCACGATAAACTGTTACAAGTAATGTAAAGAGTATTGTTAGCGTTCGGCAGGACTTGAGGAGATTCCTGGTAGGAATACCGATCGTTGTGAGATAAACTAATAGGCGCAGTCACCGCCCTAAATACCGGCGCTAGCGGAAAACTCGTACATTCCGCGATCTAACTGCACGTACATTCCGCGATCTCACTGCGCCGTCCAGACGGTGCCCTAATGTCTATCACTTAGCTACCGGATATGCATCGGTAGCCCCATAAGGTTCTGGGGTAAGTCTTCCCCATTAGTCAGGCGTAGACCCGGGGTCAAATCCCCTGGTCGACAACCACACGAGTTGGGAGAGGACCGTTTCCTCAACACGCCCCCTCGGGCCGTATCCCAACGAGTACCAAGTTCATCTGCACACTTCACACAAGGCCCATAGCATCTCGGCAACGTTTGAACTTCACCTCGCCCAGAGCCTTTGTTAGTACATCCGCAACCATCCACTCCGTAGGGCAGTATTCCAACTGCACCTCACCGCTATTCACCCTCTCACGCACTATGTGATGCTGCACGTCGATGTGCTTCGACCGAGCAGACGTAATCGGGTTGTTTCCCAAGCTAAGCGCCCCCTGGGAGTCTATCTGGATTTTCACCGCGCTCTCAGGCAAGCCCAAATCAACCATCAGCTTGCGAAGCCACAAAGCCTCACGAACAGCCGCCGCTGTAGCTTGGTACTCAGCCTCCACCGAAGAAGCCGCCACAGTACGTTGAAGTTGGCTGCTCCAGCTAATCGCAGCCCCATTAAGAGTGAATACGTAACCGGACGTAGAACGCCGCGTAACTGGGTCTCCTGCCCAGTCAGAATCGCTATACCCGGACATAGCAACGTCGCCAACACCCCCAAAACGCAATCCTAGTTCGCGAGTACCCGCCAGGTAACGCAGAACGCCAGTGGCCAAGTTCATGGCAGTCTTCGTAGGTGTGGCCATATGCCGGGACAAAACACTCAATGCATATGAAATGTCAGGCCGCGTGTTCGTCGCCAGATAGTTCAATTCTCCCACCAAAGCCCTATACTCGGTGGGATTGCCCAGCAGCTCCTCTCCTTCTACCTTAGGAGTGTACCTAAAGCCCGGAGGCAAAGGGGTAGACCTCGGCTTGGCGTCAATCATCCTATGACGCTCCAACAGCTGCGCAATATACCTATACTGCGACAACACTATCTCACCCGACTTCTCCCTCCTAATTTCCATGCCCAAAAACACCTTCGCTTCTCCAAGGTCGCGCACCTTGAAGACCTTAGCAATTGCAATTTTAATTGCCCGGACCATTTCCGGGTCTTCCGACGCAACAATTGTATCATCTACGTGTACCAAAGCAATAACAACCCCACGCTCGTCCGTCTTAACAAACATCGCCGGATCAGACTTCGAAGGATAAAGACCCAACTTGGCGAACTCTGCTGATAGTTTCTCATACCAGCAACGGGGTGCCTGCTTTAAACCGTAAATAGACTTCTGCAGCTTGCACGCAAGCGACCGGTCACTGGATGCATACCCAGGCGGTTGCTCCATCCACAACTCCTCCTTCAGCTCACCATTCAGAAACGCAGTAGACACATCGAGC